TCCTCTCCCCACAGAGCCCGCGGTGTCCCAGCTCCCTCCTCCCGCCCGAGAGCCCGGCGGCTGCCGGCCCGACCTCCACCCCTCTCCGCACTACTTCTCCGGGGCCCCCCAGCCCGGCCTGCCGTCCGCAGACGGCCCCCCGTCCTCCAGCTCCTCCTCCCCCTGGGGGGAGGCGGCGGGCGGCGGCGGCGGCGCGGGAGGGGGGCTGCGCAGCCGCAGTAACAGCTCGGAGCGGCTGCTGGAGCCCCCTGCTGGCTCGGCGGAGGACTATCACGAGAGCGACGGGGCGCGCAGGGCGAGGGCGGTGGAGAACCAGTACTCCTTCTACTGAGCGAGCCGCGGGGGCGCCGCCGGGAGGCTCCGATTGGCTGGAGCCACGCGCACACAGGAGAGGGGCCCCCCCCCGGCGGGCGGTGAGGCGGAGCCAGTGCACCCGGGAGCCGGTTGTCCAGCTTGTGTGCTCTTCAGCAAGATGTACTACCCAAAAATCGAACCTCCCTCTTTCCAGCTGGGTGTTCTGAGACAGTGCCAAATAGTCTGACCCGCCCCCTGGGTGCCCATGACAGCCATGTAAGAACTGCCCCTGCAGGGGTTCACTCACAGCTGCCCGAGGGCTCAGAGACCGCGCCCCTGCTGCGGGAGGTCTCAGCACTGCCGCCGACCTCACTTCTGTGACACGCTCGGTGCGCAGAGTCCTGCGCCAGCAGCAGGCCGATGGCCGGGAGACTCCTGGGACTCCTGCTCTGCGTGCTTGAAGCAGGAGAAAGGGAAAGGCCAGGTGTAGGTGTGGAGCCTGTTAAATTCCAACCCCCCCCCGTTCCTTTTTTCCCCATGCCTGTCCTGTAATGATTTGATAAACTATTCATCAATTAAATGCAATCTTCAAGAGGCCAGATTATGACTGGCTTGCTGGGCTGAACTGTTCAGTTCCCGATTGCTTTCAGAGTAACCCCCTGACCAATCCGCAAGTTGCTAAACAGGTATTCCAGGAAGTCAAACTCGTCTGTCCTTGTGCACCTACACCTCGTGACAATGACGTGCTCCACACTTACACCACTCGGCAGTTCAGCCCTCATACCATCACTAGGAAGATAAGGAGAACGTTTGCTCCCCTTATGGAAAACGCGTCCTGTCAGCCTGTTGTGAACCCACAGTGTAAATCACAGTTTGAGCCTCAACTGCAGACATCAGCACATCTTTCACTGCCTGCGCTGCAGGCTCATGGGTCACCTGGCCGGCTACAGTGAACCTTGTGACAAACAAAAGCCAACTTTTCCCACCAGCCAGTAGCACTCTGTCCTGGGACTCTCACAGTCACAGTCAGTGCTGTAGTGGAGATTCAGCCCTCCTGACTCTGGGCCCAGTGGAGGCCTGTACTAATCAGCCCCTTGTGAGTTTGTGCTTCTCGCCCTCTGTCCTGGATGCAGTGCAAGTGAGGCTGGATGACCGTGTGCCCTGGGTTTCTCGCAAGTAGTGCGATAAAGTATTAGGTGGTTTGGTGCTCCTTAGGGTTCAGGAAATGTAATGATTGCAGGAAAGGGAAAAATAATGCAGAGCCCTCTGGACACTGGAAAACATCTTGGTCCATGAGGTTGGAAGAAGATCGAAGAAAACTACTCCTCTCAAACCCACCACCCAGTCAGAAAACATGGGGCACGCCTTCCTCTACTGCCACCAAGAGAATCTTCTGCTACCCATGCTAGTTCACCCCAGCGCTAGCCCTGCTGACCCCCTGCTCTGGCCATTTACAGTTCCCATCGGTGTGGGATTTCATTCCCGGAGACCAGAGGGTGTATCCAAACACCCAATTTACCAAACGCGGTTCCCTTTCACCTGCAGAATGGGGAAACTTAGAACAAATATCTTGAGAGTATTATTTGTCCAAATAATCTTCTGCTGCTGGAGGTGTGTGATTTTGGTTTTGGAGGTTGACTGATGAGTGTTTTGTGTTTGTGACAGCTGGCTGTAAGTGGTGTGTGTGTGTGTACATTTCAGAATGAATTGTTACGTGTTTAAAAGAGAAAATGTGTAGATTTATTGAGCAAGTGTTGATCCTTTCTCAAGAGTTCACTAGAAGGTGTTGTGAAATCATGGTGTTTTGACAGGTTTGGAAATGTAATAGGATGTGAAGAAAAACTTTTTTTGCAGAAATTCCCTTTAAATGGGATGTTTTTAATTTCAAGTTACACACTTTCTAACTGGTTGGGTTTGTGATAATGCAAGTGAATTAAGGAGCAAAAAAATCAAACTGTTAAGGAGCTGTTTGTGCCAAAATCATGTACAGGTACATGGCTTCAGAACAGCTGAACTCTCTAAACTCACGGTCCTGGTACTTGTCTTTTGCAAGAACCTTTTTTGTTTCATGTTTCAAACTTGTTTCTCTTCTGCCTTCAGTGCGAAGAAATGCTGGGAATCTCGGTGGAAGAGGGTGGGATGTTATTTACAAGAGCATTAGTGGGCGTTGCCACAGACGAGGTCACACACGCCGCAGCCCAGCGGGGATTAGTCCGCTGGCGCTCTGCACAGGCCGAGCTCTTCGGCGGCTGGCGATCCTGCCAGGCAGGTGACAAGAGAGGTGTGGGAGAGCCTGGAGAGTAACCAGGCTCTGGCCCTTGTGAAACCCGGAGGCAGGAGCAGAGCTGGGAGTCCTGGAGAGGCCAGGGTGTGCGAAAGACACCATCTGCATTCCTTTCCATCCCCATGGCAATGTGATAATGTGAAACAAAGTCGCACAATATCACACAACACAATACCAGAGTGGGGTGGGGCTGGTTAGGACCAGTCAGATGCCACTACACGTGTGTGCTCTAGATGGGACGCTCTATGCAGTCAGTCTGAGGCTCACGTGTCAGATTTCAGATATTTTAAAGTTCACGCTGAAACTCCAGTCCTCATGGGGCCACAATCAAGCAGGTGTCTCTGAACCAAGGTCCCCAGCTGTGGTCCGGGGGACCCACATATCTCTTTCCATTCCAGCTGAGCTCTTTATTTACACCACCGAACCCTTTAATACTGCAGATCTTATTCCTGCCCTCTATTTCTTTCCTGTCCTGGAGTTTTCATGGGTTGCCTTTTCCCTTGTATTTTGTGACTTAAGATCCACATCTTCTGAGCTGAGGACCTGCTTGTAAAGATTCTAATCCAGCAACCTATCAGTTCAAGTAAGGATTTGGTTTAGTTAACCAGGTGTGGAGGTCAGAAATCGGGAACATCTGCTCCCAGTGATCAGCTGGTCCAGTAGTTTCACAATTAGCTTGTTCATTCAGAGCCGAGATAAAAACCCAGACCGTGCAGTGCAACAGCCCTGAAGTTGTTCAGTTTAAATAATGAAATAAACCAAAATTGCAATTGCAAAATGCCACAGGGTGCAAAAACTCCCTTTGAAATAAGCTTCGTTCATAAGAAGGGATCACACAGGAAATTAAGACAGCCTTCCTAGCCAGCCATCTAGTCCGCAAGGAGTTAGTAAGTAATTTATCCAATTATCATCAATCTTTTACTGCAAAGAAACCAGGGTAACAACTCTAACATGAGTAGCTTGTAGAAAATATCTTGCCTTGGGTCACCATTGGACCTGGAACTAGGGTGCAAGGAGGTGGAGATGGCTGATGTTGGCGGCTTTCAGCTTAGTAGATTAACATATTAAACTGTACAAGGGCAGCTCCCCCTGGACAGACACTCACTTGAGGCTGGACTCCGTGAGCCAGGTGCTGGAGCTTGAGTCTGGGCCGTGTTGCTCTCCTCTGTGAGCGGGATTCAGCCGTGACGATTGCAGAGCAGCTCCTCCTGGGAGCACAGTTACCCCTGCAGGTTCACGCTGCCGCTGCGCGGAGGGCCTGGGTGCAGGCCTTCACTGCCTGTGAAGGAGAAGACCTGGGCAGAAAGAAGAGAAAATCTTGAAGTTGGGCGGGTCAGAGCCGTCTGGCCATACGTCCTGGGGCTCCCCCCACCCTCGTGCTGTGGCCACATGTGGATCACAGCTAAGACACGGAAAACACACAATTGGTGGTTCCTTACTGGGTAAGTATAAAAGAAAACAATATTAGGCAAGGCTAAATTTAGAGTCAAAAGCTGGTCAAAGGAGTTAGTTTTGAGAGCAGAGCTGGAGGGAGATGCGTAAGGCCTTTGGCACAACAGAGCAGAGTCTAAGGACCACTACTGCAGTGCACACTGGGAGTGAAACAACACTAAAAAAGGTTCCAGCTGCTCTGTAACTACAGGGTGCCCAGCACCAGGGCTTGGGTGCTCATTACGTTGAGTACTGTACACGTGCCAATTTGTAACTTTGTTATGTATTTTTGAACTAGTCTGTTTCTCAGTCATTGCTACTGAAGAAATCCATCTGGGGTTGTTCTATTTTATCAAGGTGCAGGAACTCATCGGTCTTGTAACGTCCTTGCTCAACCTCATATTGGAGAGAAACTAACCAAGGGAGAGTGTCCTCAGCCATTTGAGGGTTCATTCTTGCTCCCTCTTTAACTACAATGTTTTGTTTAATTTTTTAAATGCTAAACGAAATCTGATGTCCCCCGTTTCAAAAATAAAAAGACTCTGTGCACTTTTGTACAAAGTGATGTTTACCTAATGTATTTCTTTATATTTCTGTGAATAAAAATAAGTGAACACTGTTTTAAAAAAAAATCCCACAGCGTCCATGTCTGTTTCAGGCTTTAAAAATCGTTTCGCAGAAATGGTTTCTGTGACCATTTGATTGCACTTTTTCTCAGTTCCAGCTTCAGAGAACAGTGAGGCAGTGTTCTGGCTGTGGTCAGGAGGATTACGTTAGGACTGAATAAATGAGTGGAAGGGAACAGGAGGCTTCTGACCGAGGCAGAGTAAGGAGGTCAGACCTGGAGCCCTGTTGTTACAGAGACCCCTGCTGGCCAGAGAGGCCTATGGCAGGAGTGTGCATTATGTCTGTTAATTCCGGCTCGGCGCTTAACAACCTAGATCAGAACACTACTGGTTTAACTGGGTTAATTTCAGCAACTTCACCCAGCTTTTCCAGAGCTGGTGCTTTAATGACATTATAAATCCTGCAGATGCAGGACAAGGATTGGACAGCCCTGGTCCTGGAGAGGTCCCTGGCCAGCAGGTTTTATAAGTGACTATCAAATTAAATAATCAATTTCTAAAGCACCGTAGCAACATAATGATAAATTAAACAGGTGATCTGTGACAGTTCTGTAATTTACAAACACACATCTGTATACCCTTCAGCTCTCAGGAATCAGATTAACCTCCATTAAACAAATTGCAGGCTTCACTAATCAATACCCGCAAGAGGTGGAGGCTCCACTCCCCACTGGGGTGGAGACTCTGGAGAACCCCCAAGACCTGGATCTAGGTTTTTCTGGACCAGGTCTGGAGACCCCTGCCTTTAAGAACACAACAAATTAAAACTGTGACTGTGGAGGATTTCTACTTGCTAAGCTGATGTAACACCACGCAGTAAAATCGCTCACAAGTGCCCCAAACACAAGAAGTCTCCTTACTACCTGAGAATCTCCAGTCTTTATCATCGAAAGTGTCCGCGCGTGGAAGAAAAACTAACGCCCTATACAGAGACTAACAAAAAGGCCCCAGTTTCTGCTCTCCGAGTTCTCTTCTGATGCCGCTGGACTGTCTCTCCCCTGACCCTAATGAACTAGAGAGAAGGAGAAAAGCTTTAACAAATGTTTATTTAAAAAAAAAACACTGAGAAAGACAACAAATTAAAGAAGAGACATAAAAAAGGAATAAGGCTGATCACATAAATTCTAGAGATAAGCAACTGACCTTGCTGGCAGAGTTTTGTTTACCAGCAAAATGCAATCTATCAGTAATCTATATTACTTTCATGAGAACAACGTCAGAAGATTAATGTGTTTAGTTTTCCCAATCTCTATTCCACAGAGTTGATTTTGCCACTGAAGTATGATGAGAGGGAACACTGCTGTAGGACTTGCCTTCAAGGGTCTGACTCCTCTTTCAAAGACTCTGTGGCAGCTCGTGTGAGAGTAGGGGTGCACACCCAGCGCCCTGGATAGACTCCCCTCTGGGCGTCCAGAGTCTGGCCTCCCGAAGCTCTCCTTCCTCCAATGGGTGCAGTCCCTTCTCGCTCCTTCCTGATCTGTGCAGTGGGGCAGCTCTTCAGAGGCGGGTGAAATGGGACCTCTTCCAGATGTGAAGCTTTTTTGGGAGCCTCTGGGAAGAAAAAAACACACAAGAAATTCAAGGAGGTTGTTATTCAGGTGTGGTCGAACCCTGGTGAAGGAGACGATTCTCGCTGCGAATAGCGAGCTTTCCTGGGGACACTGACCTGGTTGAGCAGGAAGCCCAACCCGTCCACAAGGGCGGGGCTGGCCGAACACACGCCTCGCTGGGAGAGATGCGAAACCGGGCAGCGTGCCGGGGCGTCAGCGGCGCCAGCCCCCGAGTCCGGGATGAGCCAGTGAAGCTGTTGCACTTCTGTGCAGGGGCTCCTGCCAGTGGGCCGGCGCTTCAGGGGGCCTGAAGTGGGTCCCCTCCTATCTGCACGGGTCTTTGGGATCTCTCAGGATGGAAAAGCACTACATGAACGCAATTAACTCGTCTACAAATTACAAGGAAAAGACCACAGCATTTACAGTGTTCTCCCATATATTTTATTCTTTAAATACAAATGTACATATTCTATTCATGACTGGAGTTAACATGCCCCACCACATTCATGACACGAAAGAAGTATTCAGATTCTTTTTTTTTTCTTTTATGGCCTAAGAAGATTGTGTTTTATGAACCTTCTCTTTTAACCTCGCTGTTTAATGAGCATCAGGGTTTTCCTGCACATACACGCAGCCACACAGTGGCGAGACAGTCACCATCAGTGCTTTCAAATGAAAACCTTGGTGGTTTCAAGGTTTTTTACACCAGTAAGGTTTATTCTGGACACGTGCAGGACCTCTGGGGAGCGCTGCTCTGTCTAACCAGGCGTTGCCAAACATGTCCACACAGTAGTTATTTAATAATAATTAATAATAATTGCTTATACTTATATAGCGCTTTTCTGGACACGCCATTTAAAGCGCTTTACAGGTAATGGGGATCCCCTCCACCACCACCAATGTGCAGCATCCACTGTGAGCAAGACTGCTGGAGAGAACGCCTAGGGAGCCCGGGACACTACTGACACCATCTGTTTCCTGCTGAATTCCCCAAATCAGGGTGGAAAACCCTGTGAACTTACTTTCTGCTGCCAACTTCTGGCAGCAGGTATAGCTAATGTGCTGCAGCCTGTGTAGTCTTGTACAGCACTGTACGGCATGTTAGTACTGTAGCACTCAGAGCTCCAGCTGAGCTCCTCACGGTATCCCAGATAGCAAGCCCCACACACACATTTTTGAAAACATTCCTGGTGCTGGACAACCTTTTAATAAAAGCAATACAACCATTATCAGTATTTGACTGTTCATGTGTAACAGCAAATTGTATCAGCACAGAAATTTGCTTAAAAAGTTATCTTTTTCCAGGAAATGACAGAGGATTATAAAATCCCAGTTATCTCTGTCAAACAACTGCCAGATATTTTAGTACTTTTTTACTGGCCTTAATATTTTACCAGCCTACATAAATTGAGCACACCTGTAAAGGGATTTTCCAATTTGACTGAGAATGAGTTTGAATTAATCACCTGACACTGATGCACCAGTAAATGTGATTCAAAGGGCTTGTTTCAGATCTCAGAACAGCAAGCAGCACCTCAAAAATATCCTCCACCCAAGGAATAGGTGGGGTGTTCTAAAATGGATGGATCACTCTGCCCCCGGTTTAACCTGACGCAGAAAGAAGAGCTTGGGATCCAGAAAAACACTGGATTCTCAAGACAAGTTGGAAATATACCACGTATATGAGTGTAATGACAATAAACTTGAACTTGAAACACGTTGTCAGCACCTTCCCTTGACACCTTAAAGACCAGCATCAGGAAATAATGACCAGACGAGCAAAATAAGTCCAAGCTAAATTCGAGGCCCTAAATAGTACCTGGCCTGGCAAGCGTGGCAGGGCCCGACGGGCCGTCTCGGGTCGGTGCCGCAGCGCTGGCTGCCCCTGTGTCCGAGCGCAGGGGTCAAGGGCGC